CAGAATAATAAACAGATTTTTAAATTCCGGTATTTTTTTAAGAACTCAACTTCATTGGCAAATCGTCTTTCAGGTATTTGTTATTGGTCTTTAGTTTGACGAAAAAAAAATTTAATTGCGAATTTTCGGTGAGATTATTCGATTCATTTGGAATGACTATTCAAAAACAGAAATTTTTTCATGAGATACATCTCCCTGAATCAATAAACTATTCTGAAATTTCAAATTCGTCTCTAAAAATCATCCCCGCAAATAGTAAATAACGATGTTCATGGTGGGTTTACACCACGTGCGGATGGTGGGTTTGCGTTATGTATGCATGGTGGGTTTGAGTGGAGCACGTGTAGTACATATAGTTCCACCACCCAATGTGCACTCCCGCAGACTAATGGTGGGGGGTAGGAGTGCTGGCTAATATAGCGGGAACGAACTCGCCGGTTGCACTATATGTGTGATGGGTTTCTCTCCACATCCACTACTATCTTTCGGAACCAAATAATGAACCTATATTGATTGAAACCATGCAATAATAGCGGCATTTTTTGAGTTAATAAATATTTAACAAAAATTACTTCTAAAATATAGACATTAAATGTTGAAAGGATGGGAAATGTGGAAAAATGGAAAAGGATAATTTCCAATCCTATAACGTTTATCATATCATATTACCAGTTTTCATAATCAATAATATTAATTACATAAAGAACAATTTCTAATGAGAGGCGGAGGGGCATCAACAACATCTCCAGCATTTTTTAATGTAGGATAATGCAGATAACATGGTCGACAGTCTTGGATCTCACTTATCCCCTTCAGTTTATTTGGTAGCGCCTCCCACAGCTCATCCACATTTGACCATCCAAATTCTAACAGAAAATTTTTCAGGAAATGGACATTGTCGGATTGTTTCAACTGCATATTCCGTATCCTTTTACATAAATTGATGGATGAATGCAAGCTCAAAATGAAGTACTTCTTGTACCAATCCATCAACTTCCAACTATTCTCGAGTGCGCATGTATAATTTTCTTTTATAATGATGTGCTTGCGATGATTCCAGCAAATAGGGGCTTTTAAATTCTTTGATCTTGATGCGCCCAAACCATTCAAGTCAATGATCAATGTATCAATGTATGACGCCAACCACCGTTTCTTCTCTGGACCGTTCACGAAAATAATCTCAGCATCGGTTGTGAGATGCGTAATATCATCCTCCAGATCACGATATGAGAAGTCACTCGATTCCCACGGAATTCCATGATGATTTCGTGTGAGGCACTTATTTGTTCTTCTCTATTTAACCGGTAACTCACCCCATTCGAAGGGTGGGGTTTCGTACAGGAGGCAGAACAAGGAATTTCGCGTAAAAAAATGACCGGCGAATTCTTTCACAATAAATTCATTTGGGTACTGAAAACCCTGCACATCCGAGAACAACATTCTTCCAACTGTGGTGTTGGCTTGAGATGAAACTTTGAATTGAGTATGATGTTCGAGAAGCTTGTGGCTTTTATAGAACCTCCCCTCTCCTTTGAATAGGAGTAGAATATTCTAGAATATACTTGAAAGGATACCCTCATCCTGAGTGTTAATTCATCTCAGAATATTCTCGAATCCTCGAGAATATTCTGGAACAAATCAATGATGATGTAATTCCTATTCCAAGGATCTTATGACTCATTGTAGGATCAAATTTCATGCAAGTTCGCGCAGGTATTATGTTCCATTCAAGTCCCAACAGGTCTTAGAGGGATTCTCCCACTACGCGAGTCGATGACGTCATCCATCTAGAACGTTCCGCGACGGTGGCGCCAAAATCCGATTTCATGCAAGTTTCAACAGGTCATTATATTTTCATACAAGTCCCAACAGGACGGTGGCGCCAATGTCCAATTTCTTACAAGTTCCAACCGCTCATTATGGTATCATATAATTCCCAACAGGACTAAGGGGAAACCCCCACCGCGATAACGTAATCCTTCTCGAATGTACAAGTCTCAGCAGGACTTACGGGAAACCCCCACCTCGCACATTGATGAGTTATCAGTCTGAGTGACTCACCAATGTCATTCATCTTGAAAATATCCAATCATTGTTTTCACATATTTGCACATGTTTGCATATGTTTGTAAATGTTGCCCAATGTTTGCAAATGTTTACAGAATGTTTGCAAATGTTGTCAAATCTTTGCAAATGTTTCCAAATGTTTACAAAATGTTGCCCAATGTTTGCAATTTTTCGCAGAATGTTTGCAAATGTTTGCAAAATGTTTGCTGACTGTTTGCAATTGTTTGTAAATATTGTCAAATGTTGTCAAATGTTTACATATATTTGCATACATTTGCAAATGTTCTCCAATGTTGCCAAATGTTTGCAAATGTTGTTAAATATTTGCATATGTTTAGGTCTTACGGGGAGTTCTCCCACCGTGCAAGTCGATGACCCATCGATGACGTCATTCATCTCGAAACTTCCGCGATTGTGGCGGCAATATCCAATTTTATCCATATGTCCACAGGTTTTTATAGTATTATATTTCATACAAGTCCCCCCAGGACGGTTCCCCCACCATACGAGTCGATAAGTTATCGATGACGTTATCCGTCTCGAACCTTCCACAGCTTGTGGCGTCAATATCCGATTTCATGCAAGTTTCAACAGTTCATTATATTTCATACAAGTCCCAACAGGACAATTCCTCCACTACTCGAGTTGATGAGTCATCCTTCTCGAACGTTCTGCAACGGTGGCGCCACCATTCCAGAACCTTCCACGACGGTGGCGCCAAAATCCGATTTCATGCACGTTTCAACAGGTCATCATATTTCATACAAGTCCCAACAGGTCGTAGAGGGATTCTCCCACCACGCGAGTCGATGACATCATCCTTCTCGAACGTTCTGCGATGGTGGCGCTACCATTCCAGAACCTTCCACGACGGTGGCGCCCCTGGTGGTGATTTCGCGAAGCTATCCAGAACCCGCTTACCCTAACTACTCATATTTACACAAAGGGTGGAATATCTCAGGAACCGCTAGGCCGATTGTGCCCATCTAAAATAACGACCTTTATTATTATAAAAGCTAGCACCATACCAAATTTCAACGTCCTAACCCAATTTTTTCTGAAGTTATCATGCGAACAAATTTTTTAGCGAAAAAACAGAAAAACGGCAATATCTCCGAAACTGTCCATGATCGGCATATAAGTTTTGATTGGGCTGAATAGAGGTGATCGAGCCGAGTATTTCGAAAAAAAATTGAAATCGTTGCAGTAGTTTCCGAAATATTGATGGAAAACGAAATTTAAAAAACTTGATATATCTCAGAAACTACTCGGCCGATTGGGCTGAGTCAGCGCGACAACAAAATCTAATCTAATCAAAAAAAGTTAATTTCTCTTTCCTGATAATTACTACTGAACTGTCCATGAAATTTTCATTTTCTTCAACAGTTTATTTGCTGTTTACTCATAATTATCAAAGGGCATTCCAAAACTTTTTATAACAAAAGGAAAGTGGATTTTCCAAAGACGATACATGAAATGATTGAAAAATAACTATCTCCGAAAACCGTGACTTTTATTTATAAATAATTTGATAACAATCGGTTTTTTACTCTGAGAGTAATTTTTCCAGAATGGTAATAAATTTTTCCCCTATCAAAATTTTACCAAACATAAATTTAATGCCAAATAATAATGTTTCCAGAAGTTCGTTCAATTTTAAACCTACTATCGAATTGAAAAGCATAGACCCCTGGCACTGCAGGATTTTTCGGGTTTGTGACATTCTCAAACATTAGTATCAATTTTTTCCCTGAGAAATATATTCTAGACATATCAAATAACCATAAGAAACATTAACCTGAATGTGTTCGGTTATTATTCATTGCCAAGACAACCTCTGAAGTCGACGCCCAGGGGTCTATGCTTTTCAATCCGATAGTAGGGAACATGACGGAGACCCTGGGAGCCCCAATCGCTATTTACCTATGCGACAGCCATTTTTGAGAACGCCACCTTGCGGTATTTTTTCGTTTTTTCTTTTTTTCCTTCCCATTTTCGTCAAAATTAATTATTTTCATTCATTCTTAATGTACTATGTATGATTGATGAAAACAATGTGTCTCCATTCATCGCGTGTTCAATTTTCATACTTCGTAAGTAATTCGCTAATTCTGAAATTCCTGTGATCACTGGATAAGGTCTAAATATCATTAGAAATGAGATCTGATTTAGTGAAAAGATTCCAGTTATAATGATGGTTAAAACCTTTTTCGATTAGAACAGGCATTTCAGCGTTACTCGGGCAAAATGTGAAACAATAATCATGAAATTTTCTTCATGGTTAGAATATTTAGGTCTGCTTCCTTCCCCCATTCCACTTTGATCTTCTACAGATACATTGAATAATTTTTCCGTTGACATTATCTAATTAATTATTATCTAACCAATAATCATTATCTAACCAATTCTGATGCCCTTACACCAATTTGGAGTATTCTCTCCCCATGCTCGAAAGTTTTGTGAAATTGGTGCGAAGACTCGACAAATTTCTCGATTTCTTAAAATTAACTGATGTTTTGATTTAGGTGAATCAGAGTGCAGTGTTGAAAGTCACATGCCACTTCCACATTATTTTCATTTATCAACTTTGCAACCTTTTATTGTGTTACTTTTCTCTTCGAATGTACATGGATTTCACAATATATTCTTTCCTAATAACCAAATTAGTGTGTGCATACACGGACAATATTATCTGATAGATATTATTGTGGATTATTTGTTCATGAAAAAAATCATTCATGAAAATGCCTATTCACAGGGCTCATATGGAAATTCTAAGGTTTCCCATAAATAAAGCGGAGATGTGTTCATCGTAAACGAACTATATTTATTCAGTCAACACTTGGTAATAATTATTTTTAAGTACAAAAGTTAGCACACCACACCTGTAGTGGGTTCGACAGCGAGGTAGGAAACGTAATGGAGGGTTCTCACTAGTCCGTTCTAGGGACTAGTGTCTGCTTGCGACGTTGGCGCTGTTGGCGGGTACCGTCGGTAACGATGGAATCTGGTTTATGCTCAGCCGCCACAACCACTCCTCTCCCAGTGACCTGGCCAGGTAAGGAAGGGAACGGTACTTTTTTGGTGGTTTTTGCTACTTTGGCGTAAGTCGTCAGCAGTGGGTCCATGTTAATAGAACGATGTTCTTCAGGTACGACGATCAATGGACTAGATTGAGGACTTTGCTGCTGCTGCTGTTCAGTTCGTTGCTCTGAGTCTGACTTTGCAATGAATGCAGGCTTGAGTCCGTCAATGGAGATGACTTTGTTGTGCCCGTTGACTCTGACGACAAAAACTCTTTCGTCAACTCGCGTGACGACTTCGTGAGGTCCAGTGTAGGGTGGGTTGAGGGGTTTTTTAACCGTGTCGACTCGAACGAAAACGTGACTACACTCATACAAGTCCTTGAGCATGAAGAATCGTGCTGTGGTGTGATGGGCGGTAGTGGTGGGTCTCACTCGTCGCATGTGTTCTCGAAAGTTCTCGAGGAAAAAATTCGGTTCTGCAGGTACAGAGTCGGAGATGGAAAACTCACCGGGAATGCGTAGCTCTGTCCCATATAGAAGCTGTGCTGGAGAGGTTTTCAAGTCTTCCTTAAAGGCCTCGCGAAGTCCAAGCATGACCGAGGGTAAAAGCTCTGGCCATGGAGTTAGAGCGTTTCACATGAGAGCAAGTTTCACAGTTCGGTGCCAACGCTCGACCATCCCATTGGACTGGGGATGATATGGGGTGGTATGGATTTTCTTGGCTCCAAGCAGCATTGCGACTGCTGTGAAAAATCTAGACTCGAATTGCGAGCCTTGATCAGTCGTGGTGGGGAGTGGAGTGCCAAACTGCGAAATCCAGTGCGTGAAAAATGCAGTGGCAATGGTCTCGGCTTTGATGTTTTCTAGGGGAATAGTAACAGGCCATTGAGTAAATCTGTCGATCATGGTAAGACAGTAGCGTAGGCCTTTGACTGGAGGTAGTTCGATAATGTCCAGGTGGACATGCTCAAATCTGTTGTCAGGAACGCTGATATATGCAGGCTCGATGCGGTTGTGTTGCTGAATCTTGCATCTCTGGCAGGAAATGTACCCTCGACACTAGCGTGCTGCGTCACGCTTGATGCCTGGTCCAATGAACTTCTTCGTCAGCTAGTGGATGGTAACTCGGTTGCTGGGATGTGCGAGAGAGTGCACGACATCGAAGGCTTGTCTTTGGAGACTGGCAGGGATGTAGGGGTGGATAAAGCCCGTGGAAGTGTTGCAATAAACCGGATGATCTTCGATGACCAATCTCTGAAGTTTGATAGATGAGTTATCTGAACTCAGCAAGGTCTGGAGCTCCTCGTCGGACTCTTGAGCAGACTAAATGGCTTCTGAGCTCAACACCTTGGACATATCGATCGCGTTGCCGCGTGAGAGCGCATTCGCAATAACATTGTCATCTCCCTTGACGTAGACAATCTCTGTTGTGAGCTGCGCGATGTAGTCCAGTTGGTTCAGCTGCCTTGGGGATGCTTTCTCGTGGCGTTGCGAAAAGGCGTACACAAGGGGCCGGTGGTCAGTCTTCATGACGAATATACCACCTTTGAGGATGTGTCTAAAGAACTTGATGGCGGAAAAGATTGCTAGAAGCTTTCGATCATACGTGCTGTTTCGTGACTCTGTCGGGCTCAACTTGCGAGAGAAGAAACCGAGTGGCTTCCAGACATGGTCCTCCAACTGCTCAAGGGCTACTCCAATAGCAGAGTCTGAGGCATCATTGGAGAGTGCAAGAGGTGTTGTTGGCGAGAAGAAGTTAACTCTAACTGCGTTAGCAATTTTCTTTTTGCAAAGGTGGAAGGCTGCATCTGTTTCGGGGGTCCAAGGAATCTTTTTCCTGTCGTTCTTCTTGGAGTCTTTAGGGAAGTCATTCAGTACAGTTTGATCGTGTGTTGCGTGTGGAAGGCATCGTCAGTAATAATTGAGCATTCCGAGGAACCTGCGAAGCTCGGGGACAGTATCAGGTTTCGAAAACTCGACGATGGCTTGAACTTTACTCTCAGAAGGGGAGAAACCAAGCTTGTTGACCTTGTAACCCAAGTAGATAACTTCTTCTTGGCCGAATTGGCCCTTACTTGACGTAACGCAGAGGTTATTGTCCTGGAGAATGTTGAGGACGATCTCTAGGTGCTACAAGTGTTCCTCGGGGATCCTGGAGAATACAATGAGATCATCGATGTAGCAGGCTGCAAAGTCAATGTTTGTAAGAGGTTATCCATATGTCGTTGGAACGTTTGTGCCGCGTTACGCAATCGTGGGGGCATGCCGAGAAACTCGAACAGATCGAAAGGTGTGATGGCGGTCTTGACAATGTCTTCCTGTGCCACAGGTATTTGGTGGCAGGTGCGCATGAGGTCAACGGTTGTAAAGACCTCGCGGTCGTGGCAACGCTGCAGAATATCCTCGGTGATCGGCAGGAGGTAACGGTCTGGAACCATGCGTTTATTGAGACCACGATAGTATCCTGTTGATCGCCAGCCGCCTTCTTTGTTTGTCACCATGTGCATGGGGCACGCGAAATGACTACTGGAGGGTCTGATGATCCCATTGTGGAGCAGGGCTTGAACATCATCACGTGATGCTTGCAATTTGTCACCAACAAGTCGTCTCGGTCATTCAGAGACTGGTGGTTCACTGGTGACGATGTGATGGGCAACTGGGCTGTCCATCGGTGTTCTAGGGGCAGCGGGTGGTTTCGTGACCTCCACAAACTTCATGAGCAATTGACGAATACCTGTAGAGAGAGCTGTGCTGTCGTTGGTAACGGTGGAGACGCTGAAGATGCTGGTCTCGTGAATTTCTCCAAGAGCTGAAAGGCTTGTTGTTGGGTCAATGAGGCGTTTACCTTGTAGATCGATGAGCAGAACGTAATGAAAGAGTAGATCTGCGCCGATGGCGGTTTTGACGTTGGCGACAGTCAAGTTCCATGTGAAGTCACGATGAAGTCCAATGTGTAAGATGGGTAACTGCTGGCCATAAGTATCGATGACTGTCTTGTTGGCAGCAAACAGTTTGAGGTCTGCGAGTTGAGAGATGTGACGACTCCAAGAACGAGGGACTATAGATATCACAGATCCTGAGTCGACGAGACATCTTCGGCCTTTTGATTTGTCAGACACGAATAGACGAATCTTTTTGATAACGGCATTGTTGTTTGAGTCCGAGCTACTGGAGGCCGCCTGCACAGACGGTAGCGTCTCTAATCTAACTGTTGGTGGAGAGTAACATTGGAGCGTGAGCATAGAGGGTGGCATTGGCAAGCCCTGTCCCCAAAACGCTCATGGCAGAAACAGAGACCGCTCTGGCTCGTTGGTGCCGACGTGAGAGAGCGTTGGCGAGAGTGGCGAGCGTGATCTCCTCGCGTTAATCTGTCCTACCTTGGACGACAGATTTTGAATGGCATGGCGCAGGGTCTCGATGGTTTTCTCGACGGCACCACGCTTCTGCTCGAGATGACTCTTAGGCCTTTCGTAGTTATGATCTGCGGCTGAGAAATTATTTAGGAATAATCACAAAATTGTTCGTATTTCACTGTCACTTAATTTAGTGAATTTTTTTCCACGGAATGAAAACATTTTCTGTTACACTCGGAGAAAAATATATATTTTCTTTTGGAATTTAACGATTCACGGACATTTAATACTTGATCACATAATATTTTCGACACATCTCCGTTTTGTCACATTCCGAACATAAACCGATAACCTCACAAACAGTGTATAAACTACCTTTATGTCCGATGTCCGCATATGCATATAGATATGGCGGGATGAAATTCGAATTTTCGACGAGAGAAAACAAAATAGAACACCGAGTCGATTTTCCTTTTCATTCTAATAACTAATTTCACGTGAAGAAGAACATTTTCTGTGGTTCTCCATAACAACATCACAACCCACATTCAAATGCACTGGTGGGAACACTTCAACATTGGATATGAAGCTCAGTTGGACCGGCGCTGCCAACGTTATAACTTGATTCTCACACTTTATAATGTGGATCGCGAGAATGTGAATATCAACTCGTTGCTATGAGCCTATCTTTTTTACTGTTAATCCAAAAAATACCATAGTTAGACCGTTGAAAAGCTCATAGGCGATTTATATAATGTAACTAACGACACTTTCCCGATTTGTTGTCCCGTTTTCATTATACCGAATGTAAATCATTTAGAGGTAGTGGAGGGGGAAGTTCTGTCGTGTATAGATACGCGGTGCTCTCGGCCTGATGTTTTGCTCAGTCGGTCAAACCTGACGTTTTGCTCAGCCGGTCAAAACTTTTCTTGGCCGATACGATACCGCGTATCTCGATATAGGATTAGGTATGTGACGCAATAATGCATATGCTCATTAATAAACATCATAAAATAATTTTTACCATTTATTGTTGAAGGAGAGATTGGTTTACACACATCTGAATGAACAATAAACAGTGGTCTTTTGATATGATCCTTTACTTTGTTTTTTTTGAAAAGGTAATCATGTTTGTTTTCTAAAAACACACTTGATATGAGATTATTAATCAATTGAATATCGTCAACCATCTGTTTATTCTTTAACTCTACAAATCTCGATTTGCCTACGTGATCCAATTGTACATGCCATAATTCATAACTACATGTATTGTTTACGGCACTGTAAATTCTCGTACAGTAGAACCCCACTGTGTTCATACCCGCAAAAGGCATATGCTCCCGCTGTTCGCATATTTAGACAAGCCCTCTACCCGTTCTCTAGTCCACAACCCCTTATTTGTTGTAAATGGAATGTGGGATATCCTCACTACGTTCGTGGTATATTTTATCGGAACATTTCAATTGGTTCGGATATGTCTCCGAACTTTTACGATATCTATTGAAGATGTTCTACTAGGAGAGGTTTCATATCAGTGAGAGGAATAGGTTACGATGGTGTTCCAAAAGTACGGATGAGGAGCGTATTGTTGATAATACTTCCGGTACGTTTCGCTTGCGAACGTACCGAAATATATATGATTATTTTGAAACGAAAATAGGTTTAAAGACTTATATAACATATTCTGATACCAACAGTTGAATATGTCCGCTCCTTCATGGTGTTTTTCCATAAAATTTTCAAAAAAAAAAAAACAAACATACTTAAGGACAAGCTTAAGCCTCGATTATTTTCATATAATATATGAAATACAGCTGTTAACAATTGATCTAGGGAGTTTTGAGTTCTAGTAATTTTGTTTTCGGACGTTTGAGAGTCTGTCTAGTTCCCACGCGCATTTCACGCCTTTAGTCAGTATTTTCCAAGATGGCTGCACGACATGTGCCAAAGATTTGTACGCTACTTGATTATATGAATAAATATATTAACAAACGTTAAAACTGAGTAAAAAGTGTCTTAAAAATATCCCAGCTGAGAGGACATTTCGGATAAAATGGCCCCATCGCTGGAAAAGTATAAGAAGTTATGCAAGGCTATACGCCAGTCATTCACATGCACCCATACATCGAAACTAAACAAGGTGCAGGCAGAGCAACCTAACGTCGCGGTTGTGAAAGCCAGCTTTGCCCTCTCCCGAGATAAATGTAGTGAGCTCGATGAATACAATGCAAAAATTATTCAAGAGATGCAAGAGAACGAACAGATTACGGACGAGGAGTTGAATAGGGAGCTCGAAAAATAAGATGAGTACAAAATGACGTATCATCAGTTGAAGTTTGCAGTCCACGAACTCGTCGAACCTCTAACCCCTCCCCAATCCGTACCTAACGTTCAAACAGAAGTTCCTCGAGTTATTCATACTGTACAAGAAGACAGGCGGTATAATTTCCCGAAAATTCAGCCTCCCAAATTCGATGGTGAACTCAAGAATTATCTCCAGTGGTGGAGTTTATTCAAGCCAATCCATGAAGACATAAAGATTCTCAAAGAGCAGAAATTCACGTATCTGGTACAGGGCATGGTGGAAGGTTCCAGAGCTGCAGAATTAATCAAAAGTTTCCCACCCACACCGGAGAATTATGAGAATGCTGTAGCGAGTCTACGTAATCGTTTTGGTAAAAAGGAATTACTGGTTGAAGCGTATGTACGAGAGCTTTTAACACTTGTCCTTAACAACACAGTAGATAATACAGAGGTTAGGAAGTTGTCAACTACCTACGATCAACTCAAGACACAATTAAGGGCCCTGGAGACTTTGGGAGTTATCACAGACATGCGCGCAGCTATGTTATATCCATTAGTCGAGTCTTCACTGCCAGAGGAGCCTCTACGTGCTTGGCAACGTCACTTCTCCACACTACAGATACCAGACGCAAAAGAGAGAATCAAAAAATTCATGGACTTCTTGGAGGCTGAGGTGGAAACGGACCAGAGGATCGACATGGCCAGACAGGGATTTGGTATTTCTCCATCAACTAACAGTGAGAGTACGGACCAGAAGAGCAAGAAGAAACCAAAGGGTGAGTACAAGCCTATACCAACAGCTGCTGGCCTTCTCACCACGAAAAGTTCTACATCATCTGTGTGTATCTTCTGTGATGAGAACCACAATAGTGCTGCTTGTGAAAAGGCCAGGAGAATGACACTTGCTGAAAGTACAACGATAGTGAAATCGAAGAACGCCTGCTTCAATTGCTTCAAGATCAACCACAGTTACAAGACATGCAGATTCAAGGAAAATTGTGGTTGGTGTGGGCGACGACACGTCCTGCTAATGTGTCGAAACAAAGAAGTCACTAGCATACCTGGGGATAAGTCCAAAATCGAGACGAAGGAGCTCAATCTTGCAATCTTTGCCTCAGATCCAGAGGTCTTTTTGCAGACATTACGTGTTAAGATCACCAATGGAAAGAAAGAGCGGGTGGTGAGAGCAATCATAGACACTGGATCACATTGTTCGTATGTTCTAGCCTCTACAGCACAGTCAATGAATTATGAGATCTTGGAGAGCAAAACAATGATTCATTCGCTCTTCGGCGGATCTCATACTCAGCCCCAACAGCACAACACCTACAAAATTCACCTGAGAAGTCTGGACGATAGTTTTGCTTGCAATTTTGTGGCGTATGATCAAGCAACTATCTGCCATAACATAACATGGACCAACATAAACAGTGGTTCATGGGTTGAAGAACTGCGTAGTAAATCAGTGACATTGAGTGACGTAGGAGAAGGTCCCCTCCCTATTGCTCTTCTGATCGGCGCTGATGTAGCTGGAAAGTTGTATACAGGCGAAGTGTTGGATCTCCAGTCTGACCTCACAGCAGTTGGCACTCTCCTGGGTTAGACACTCATGGGAAAAACCCAGCAACACACAGAAAAGACTGACCCAGCGTTGTTGACTATCTCCATATTTTCTCGAGAAGCCAACGTGTCAGATCTGTGGACTCTTGATGTCCTGGGAATCACAGACCCAGTTGAACAGAAAACCAAGGAAATACATCAACGAGAAGTTCTTGACAAATTCCTCCAAACTACCATTGTCAACGAAGAAGGACGTTATGAGACACTGCTGCCCTGAAAGGAGACACATACACCCTTGACAGACAACCGATACATGGCCGAAAAGAGACTGACAAGGGTGTTGAATGGGTTGGAGTCCAAAGATCTTCTCTCAGACTATCAGGAAGTTTTCGACAACTGGTTGGAAGAAGGAATAATTGAGAGAGTCCCTAATCATGAGCTAGCAAAGGACATCTATTACCTTCCTCACCGACCAGTCATAAAAGAGAACAGCAGCACGAGAATTCATCCAGTTTTCGATGCATCAGCGAAAACTAAGCTTGGATCTTCGTTGAATGATTGTCTAGAGACAGGGGCAAATCTAATTGAACTCATTCCTCACTTGCTAATGAGATTTCGAGAAAGAAGAATAGGGGTGATTGCTGATATTCGCAAGGCATTTCTCCAGATCAGCATCAGGCCTGAAGATCGAGACAACTTGAGGTTCTTGTGGAAAGAATCCCCAGAGCAGAGTGAGTACCAGGTGCTCCGTCATCGAAGAGTAGTGTTTGGTGTCTCCAGTAGCCCATTCGTACTAGGGGCCACCCTAGATCTACATCTGGACACAGCAATTTTCACTCAAGATAGCGAGAATGATGAGGAGCTTGTCCGCCAGTTGAAGCAATCCTTCTACGTAGATAATTGCGTAACCAGCGTGGACTTCCTACAGTGTGCTGAGAAATTCCAAGAAGTGGCTACCAGGACCCTCAAAGCAGGTGGCTTTGACTTAAGAGATTGGGAACACTCTGGTATGAGTGGAGTAAAAGCAGAGTCCTCCGTATTGGGTCTACGATGGAATCGGGTCAATGACACCCTGTCATTAGTCTGCACCGTCCTCCAAGAAGAGCAACCAGAGTTGGTGATGAAGAGAATAATCCTCTCCATTGCACAGAAGTTGTTCGATCCGTTAGGTATGATCTGTCCAGTACTAATTTATCCCAAATTATTGTTGCAGAGGTTTTGGGATAAGCAATTAGGTTGGGACACAGAGGTCGATGTTGATACGAGAGATTCCTTCGCTTCTTGGAAGGAACAGCTCAACTGCCTCAGAGAACTGTCTATTCCACGGTGGATTTTCGGTGCGGGGATAGCTGAAGCCTCAATCTCTCTGCATGCATTCGTAGATGCAAGCAATACGGCTTATGCCTCAGTCATTTATGCGAGCGTGGAATTACCTGATGAGGTTGACGTCCAGTTCCTGATTGCCAAGTCCAGAGTAGCACCGAAAGATTCAACAACAATACCACGGCTTGAATTGTTGGGAGCAACGGTGGGAGCACGTCTCATGGACTCGGTGGTCTCTGCTCTCACTGATAAACAACCAGAGTTATACTATTGGACTGATTCCTTAACGGTTCTTGCATGGATCCAGCGTGACAAACCATGGGCCACATTCGTATGGAACAGAGTCCAAGAAATTCGTCGTTTATCAGAGCCAAACGCTTGGAGACACATTCCTGGCACCCTCAACCCTGCAGATCTGCCTTCTAGAGAATGTACAGCAAAGCAGTTGGTTGATTCAGACTGGCACAAGGGTCTAGACTGGCTACGTCTCCCTCCTGAATGTTGGCCCAGCACTATAGTGAGTGCAGACGAAACTGAAGTGAGCAGGGAAATAAAAAAGACTGCCAAGAAGACTGATAAATAAAACAAGTCACTCCAGAAAACTTCCTCTACGTGCCTCGTGGCTAATGAAGGTTTTACTGACCACGGAGAAGGAGAAGCACGTTGGTACTTGGAACACTTCTCCAGATATTCGTAAATTATACGTCTTGTTGCTTGGATGCTGCGATTCATCAATAACAGTAAGAGAAGTGAAGATCACCGAGTCAAAGGACGTCTAAGTGTTTTAGAGATAGCTAAGGCTGAGCAACTTGCCCTGAAAGTGACACAATCAGAGTGTTTTGATGGAGAGGGAGACCACCGGCTGTCAGGTATGATAGTGTTCAAGGACGAGATGGGTCTCCTCCGTCTGAAAACACCTGTGACATATAGAGAAGACTCCTTGGGGTTCCGTTGTCCAATTGTCCTGGACCAGCATCACCCATTAGTTAAGAAATTGATTCATGTCTATCATCTGACTCTACATCATGGATCGATTGATGTCGTGATGAATAAACTGAGGGAACAGTTCTGGATTCTGTCGAGTAGGCGTGTGGTGCAATCTGTCGTAAGAAAGTGTGTCATTTGTCGCCGTTTCACGGCAAAAAGACTCGAACCCAATCCCATACCTTTGCCTGAGAACAGAGTGCGAGATGCTGCTGCTTTTGAAGTAACTGGTGTGGACCTAGCAGGGCCTCTTTTCTTGACAGAAGGTGAGAAGAGTTAGGTGGTATTGTTCACGTGTGCTGTATACCGTGCAATACATCTAGAGCTAGTGAAATCCCTGTCAACCGATGCATTTCTTGAAGCCCTGAGGAGATTTATTGTACGAAGAAGAAGACATGTTACCATTTATTGTGACAATGGGACGCATTTTGTGGGGGCATTTAATGCCTTACGTGGACTGGACTGGAACGAGATTGTGGAGCAAGGGGTCTCCAGTCGAATAGAATGGAGGTTCAGCCCTCCTCTTGCAGCATGGCGGGGAGGATGGTGGGAGAGACTCGTAAGTATGGTCAAGGAATTGTTGAGAAGAACACTGGGAAAAGCCTGTCTGACGTACGAAAAACTCTCCACAACTCTTTGTGACTGTGAAGCCGTTATTAACACTCGCCCTCAGACTTACCTGGCTGAGGACACACAACAAGTGATTCCCTTGTCCCCTGATATGTTTTTACGAGATCTGAGGGAATATGGTGTATCTGATTTGGATAAAGTGGACACCACAGCATTGAATAAACGAGTCAAATACAGAAAACGCTTGCGACAAGAATTGACACAACGTTTCCGTGTGGAGTATTTAGGACAGTTGACTCGAGCAAAGGGTCCAAAGGCATCGGCAGTGCCGGTGGCTGAGGGAGATTTGGTTTTTGTTGGGAACGACAATAAGAAAAGAGTGGACTGGCCCCCATGAGGCGTGTCGTCCAATTATTCCCAGGAAAAGATGGTGAGGTACGAGTTGTGAAGGTCAAAACAGGGGATGGGTATATGGTACGTCCAGTTCAGAGACTCCACCCGGTTGAAATGTCACCAGTTGAGGCTTTCCACTTCATTGCTGATCGAACCTCGCTCCCAGCGGCGAGAAAAAACGTCAAGACACATGGGGGATCAACCCCACATGATCCTGTCGATTTGTCTACTGTGGAGAAGGAGCTCGGAGATTCTGATCTCCTGACTGAGCATCAGCCAAAGGAGAACGTCCAGATCACGATTAGGCGTGGTCGTGTTGTTCACAAACTCAAGAGACTTCTAGATTGAGAAAAGTCAGTTTTTGATACTAAATGTTTTTTTTTTTCATTCATCATTAGTTTTTGCCTTTTTGTTTTTTTGAGTTAAGTCTTTCTGACATGAACTCAAGGTGGGAGAATGTTAAAAATTGATCTAGGGAGTTTTGAGTTCTAGTAATTTTGTTTTCTGACGTTTGAGAGTCTATCTAGTTCCCACGCGCATTTCACGCCTTTAGTCAGTATTTTCCAAGATGGCTGCACGACATGTGCCACAGATTTGTACGCTACTTGATTATATGAATAAATATATTAATAAACGTTAAAACTGAGTAAAAAGTGTTTTAAAAATATCCCAGCTGAGGCCTACTATCACAACAGCATTAATGGGATTATTGGTGAGTCATTCCATTGAATATCGGACACACCCCCGCCTTCAAATTATGGATCACTTTTTTGTCCTCTAATTTTGATTGGAGATGATGTAGAATGGTCTGAAATCTAAAAATATTTAGTTTGGCGACCATGTCTGTAAATGAGCACGTCCACCGCCACCTTCCCGGTGGTCGATTTGTAGAAAATTGAGTAATTAAGTAGCGAGCATATGAGAGCGCGTCATATGATAGTGAACATGTCACTAAGTCATGCCTTACTTTTTTTCGCTATGAATACCTTGCTGGCGGGCTTCCGAATGGTCTAAAATATTACAAAAAGTTTATAGCTTCACAACACTAACTAGCAGCAAAAAAATCAGATATTTACTGCCACCTCCACGGATGCTATAAAAATTCCAATGTTTCAAGTACTTCGTATGAACAGGTAAATATATTTTCTGTTCAAATGTCAAGTTGATAGCTCGATTTTTGTACAAACCGGCGTGATTCCAAAGTTTTTTTTAATGAAAAAACAGAAAAATTAAAATCGCTTGAGAACTTTGTATGAATGGGTACATATGTTTTAATAGATTCAGATAGTAGCCATCGAAACGGATGTTTTGACAAAAAAAGTGAAAACGGTTGCGTGGTTTTGAAGATATTACATACAAAAGATTTTCACAAAAAGTCGAATATCACCGAAATTAATTATGCGATTAAACCCATCTTCAATACGAAGTAGTGCTATCCTGGAAGAAAGATTCTGTCTAAATTTCAAGTTGATGTCTCGATTTTTGCACCAGCTAGAGTGCTAACAATGTTTTTTTTTAATGAAAAAACGGAAAAGTCGGAATATGTCGGAAATTTTGTGTGAACGGGTGTGCATGTTTTGATTGATTTGGATAGCAGGCATCGAAACGAATATTTTGAAAATGAAAAATCGAAATCGGTCCTCTAGTTTCAAAGATATTTTCGGAATATGAATCGTTTTTTCTCAAAAAACTATTAGATTGATCGGTCTAAAATTTTGCACAGCGTTAGTCCTCATTAGTAAGACCGATAACCTGACGAAATTTCAGATTCATACAAAGTTTTTAAGATATTCCCGTTTTCCCGTTCTTTCATAAAAACTTTGTCAGCACCCTAGCTTGTAGAAAAATGGAGATATCAACTTGAAATTTGGACAGAAAATATGTGTACCCGTTCATACTAAGTATTCAAAACATTGGAATTTGTCTGGCACCCATGGAGAAGGCAGTAATTTGACATTTTTGTTGCTAGTTAGTGTTATAACGCTATAAACTTTTGTAATATATCAGACCACTTGGAAGCCCGCCAGCAACGTATTGGTAGCGAAAAAAAATGAGACATGACTCACAAGGAACACTAGGTAGGTGTCCGCCCCCGATTTTGATGAAAATTGAATATGTTATAGAGGACTCAAAACTAAGTGCCACGTATTTTTTTTTATCGGACCATACGTGGATTTAGGGGGTGAAACTGACCTCTGAAGTTGACCACCTCCTGAGGTATTTCTTTAATTGCGCACATATGGAGAATATTTAGACAAATTTTTTGCAATATAACAGGAAGCTTATGGAAAATAATTAAGATAGAAATTGAAATCATCTCCGAGGGGTGAAATTTCGGGGGTAAACTACCCCCGTGAGAAGTCATTAATTCAATAAAAAAAATATATCACTCCGAATTTCATGAAAACAATTTCGTTTGAAAGTGCATAAACAAATACAAAACTAGTGGATTGGGCTGTTGGTCGCTCGCTGCGCTCGCTCCCATTACGGGTGTGTTGGTAGCGGATGTATTCATGTGGGTCTGACCCGTCGGACGGGTCGCACCACCAACTTCCCGATATTATTATTCCTCCCATTTTGACTAAAAGAATCCTTTTCAACTCTCAATACTCTGTTTAGTTGTTCATGAGAAACCCTTCTTTTCAATTACATGATATTCATAACTATACTCACATCATTACATTGCCAGGGAGCAGAGCATCGATTTCCGCCCTGCTCGTAAAGTCATACTCAAGCGACATTTTGGTAAACACAGTTCTCACTTGATAATTTTATCAAAGCACACGCCGGTTCGACACAGTCGGTGTACATGGCGGAAGTAGACGCAAAAATTGGTCAATCAAAAGATGTTGCGTTCATGAAAAGTGTGTCGCATTTTCATGAGACGAAGTACACCACTGATCTCAGCATTTGTTTTCATATAATATTTCTCTTAACTCCAAATACGATACGATTTCTAGTATTGAGAGTTAATATTAACATCGGAGTGATATAAATAATGAGAAATTTGGAAGAACAACACACTTTCTTAGTAACTAACTTCAGATGAGTTAGTGACCAATTAGTAGAGGCGCCACTCGATAACGATGTATTCCAATTGGAATTTTTTTATTTCTCATTTATTGATAGAAAAACGGCAATTTTTGGAAGGAATCGAAGAGAAGTATGAAATTTTCTTCATTATAATCGTTCTCTATGTGATTGTCGGCGCGAACCAACACCTTCCGAGAAACCCAACTCTAAAAGCGGTGTGCAGGGTGGGCTCCCTAAAACACCCCCGGGTCAGGCTCCCGATAACAGCTAGTACAAAAATGATGAGTGATGAAAAAATTGAAAGTTCCTATGCGGGTAGCCTTAACAAGGAGAATCCGGCCATCAGTTCTGATGCCGGCTCCATCGATTATGGGAGGAGCCAATCATCACATTATGCAAAGGTGGACCACTTGGCCTCAGATGCTACAAGTGGAGAAGAGGCTCAGCCTCAAGGGGTGACAAAGTTCACCGTACCCCATGAGTGCACCTTGATCCCACATCCCACGAGTGTGGTGCAGGTGCAGACTCAGCACGAGATCGATCTCACCGTCTCAAATGAAGAAGCGAGACGTAAACAAGAATGGGATCGCCACGAGAAGCTCATCGCAGATCTTTTGTCCCAGTTGATGGACAAAAAAAGGCGAACAATAAATGAGAATATTCGCCAGATGGCTAGGAGCGTTCAGGCTTCTACTAGGCGACTTAGGTCGTTGTATGAACGTCTACCAGAACAAGTGCCGCCGAAGAAAGTAAAATCCGACAAACCAGCATTGAAAAATGCTGAGATTAGGGAACGGACGATGAAGGATGCAGGGTCGCAAGGAGGGTCACAAGACCAGAACCGGAAAGACACTGGAGGAAATAAGAAGAGAAATCGGGAATCACCTGGAACGTATTCCGATTCGCTCAAAAGGTCCAAGAAAGATAAGACCCCAAGTCCACCCGAGCGGCTCACGTCACCGCGCCAGGAGGAGGGGACAAAAAGGAATGAACCTAGCATGAAGGATCGTGCTAGAGGCGAGCGAACCAAGGGCGAGACCAATCAAGGCAGGCTCAACAAGGATGAAGCCAGTGAAGACCAGGGCTGGCAGAAGTGGAAGCGACGAAGGGAGAAAGGTGACTCGGCTCCTATGACGCTACGGGGAAACCCGAACACGAAGCAGACTCAGAAGAAGTTGGCGGCTAGGCCAAAAGCGCTGATCATTCGACACAAGGAGAAGGAGAACTACTTGGACCTCCTTAAGCGAGTGAAGAAAGACAGTGCTTGTGATAAGGCTAGTGATTGCGTCGAGAGAATCAGACGTACGACCACTGGAGACATGCTGATTATTCTGAGCAAGAAGAAGGCGGATGAAGCCTCCCAGCTACGATCAGCGATTGTCGCACTCCTAGGAAGTGAAGCCGAAGTCCTAAGCAAGGAGCCTATGGAAGATCTCGAGATCAAAGACCTCGATGAAGAGAAATCAAAGGGGGACGTTCTCGTGGGTGAATAGGCACAGTAAATTAATTCTTCAACATGACAATGCCAGACCGCATACCGCCCAAGTTGTGAAAAGATATTTACATGGACAAGACTAGGGAGTGCTACTTCACCCGCCATATTGGCCAGATATAGCTCCTTCGGATTACCACTTATTCCGAACACTGCAGTCAGATCTTACGGGAAAACAGTTCACTTCATACGAAAATATCAAAATTTGGCTTGATAATTGGATCAGCTCAGAAGACCACGATTTCTTCAGGCAAGGAATATGTAAATTACGTGAAAGATGGGCGAAGGTTGTAGCTATAGATGGAGCATACTTTCAATGAACTTTTCTTCAATTTTCTAAACAAGCAAATCTGTTTCATTTGAACAACAAAGGGCGGAGTCATATTTACACACCCAATATCAGCCCCACGTCGGGCGCCAATTTGTGACCTTTCAATATTTAATTAGTATTATTTCCTAAAAGGGGGATTTAAGGCAAT